TCTGGTTGTTTGACTAATATGAGATAAACTACAAAGTAAACAGCAAGTGAAACCGGAAACATTAACCCAAATGCACCTTACCTGAATTGGCAGACTGTTCCCAGCATATTTCCCACCATTGATGACAGTGAAGGCAGGTACAGGAAGACGAAAGTTGGTTTTGCCTGCTAGATCAGCAATGTATCTGTAGAGTGGAACCTGGAGATGAACTTTCACTCAGATTTAAGATAATTTTTTTATGTCTCTCAAAGTGGCATAATTAAGATTCAAGGTGGGCATACCTCTTTTTGAGAAGCCCCAGCTTTGCAAGCGGCAATTGAGACTGCTATAATTGCATTTACTCCAAGATCACCCTGTAAATGGTAAACTAAAAATAAATATAGAAAATCCAATCTATTTAAAGTGTGACGTCATTTGTACAGATATAGATTTCATAAGCTACCTTCTTTTCTGTCTTGTCCAATTCAATCATGACTTGATCAATTTGAGCTTGGAGAGTTGGATCCATACCGATTAAAGCTTCAGATATTTTGTCATTGATATTTTTGACAGCCCGACTCACACCATTTCCAAGATATGTTCCATTGTCTCCATCTCGCAATTCAATAGCCTCATACCTAATTATAAAACAATTAATGAAGCTACCCCTACTGGACTTCAAGATCTAGCTTTTGACAAAATGTTTTGACTCGTGTAAGAAAACTGGTACAATGTCAGAATACTGGAAAAAAACTTGTGTACCGGTAACTATGCAATGTAGTCCTGCAAATGAAATGATTTTAACATGAACTAAATCATTTCCTGATCTCAAATTCCTCTAAAATGTCAGTAATAAAAGAACTCTTTGTCGTGATTGAAATCGACAAGCGGTTATAGGTTCAAGGTGATTATTTTCTATGTAGCACTAATAGCTCAAACATGCACCAAGAAAGTCAATCAAAAGCATTTGCTAGCCACCAAATAATATGGTTTTTGAGTCAATGGAGAAAATTTATTGTTCTAAGAGTTTCCAGTGAAAATAACAATATCAAATCCATAAACATGCAGAACTACACCTATTGAACACAGCAGACAGGTCGAAAATACTTGAAGCATTTCTCGAAAACCTCATTCTATATTGAAGAAAAGAAAATTTGGTTTACTTGAAATCTGAAGCTGTAGTTTCAGTTTTGGACAGCCAATGCAAGGACCTGATTCCCATTACTGTCTTTAATATTTATGCAATTGAAATTGAAACTATCATATGATATTTTAATCCATGGGGTTCAATAGAAGCTATGTTAACAAACTTTCGTGGCTTTCACCAGATGATGATGATTTCTCCATTTTATAATCATAGATGTTAACAACAAAAAAACAATTATATTCAAATCCCTACGTTTCGGAAAGAACGCCAAATATACATAAAACAATAGACTTCAAAATCCTCTTCTTTTTTTTTTTTTTGGTGTCCAGTGATTTAACTACCAGTTCCCTACTTCTTATCAATTAACAGTATTCCAAATTCTAACAATTAATTACAACAAAATATCAGGCCAATACTCGTTAAAAAAAATGGACATAAACTTGTACATTCCACACGAGGCACCGCTGGGGGCAGCACCGCGGAAGATTCCTTTGTTGGTGAACAAATCAACTTCAACAGTGGGAATTCCTCTGCTATCGAGAATTTGCCTGGCTTTGACCTTGGTAATTGCAGACGATACAGCTTTTCTCATGTGATTGGAGATAAATAGAACTGGATCCGGAGTCCTAGCCCTAACCGCCGCATTTACGGCGTCCTCTATTTTCCGGGAAAGCATGTGCACGTCTAGATATTCCTGCACTGACATTCTTTTAGATTACTACCTTTTTCTACTACTTCCGCTACCGTAGAATCAAATTTCCTGGTATACGAGCAGCAGGACTTGGATTCAATTGATATGAAAATGGTTATGAGATTTCCTAAAATGAGTTTTAACAGTCGCCAGTCGGCCGTTTAATCAGACTACAGTCTACCGATTGGCTCTTTTTCTGCACTTTTGTATCTCCAGAATATGTGCTAACTCGGGAGTATTACACATAAATTCACTCTTACACATTCTTTTAGATTACTACCTTTTTCTACTACTTCCGCTACCGTAGAATCAAATTTCCTGGTATACGAGCAGCAGGACTTGGATTCAATTGATATGAAAATGGTTATGAGATTTCCTAAAATGAGTTTTAACAGTCGCCAGTCGGCCGTTTAATCAGACTACAGTCTACCGATTGGCTCTTTTTCTGCACTTTTCTGCACTTTTGTATCTCCAGAATATGTGCTAACTCGGGAGTATCACACATAAATTCACTCTTAAGTAAATTTTATTAGTATGTTGTCAAAATTTTACTATATTTTAAGTTATATATAAATTTACTTTAAGTAATAATAAAATTCACACCCATTTGTTGAATCAATTACTTCAATTCTACCTAAATCATCAAAATTATATTCTATCGGACGGCAAATTATAATTGACAACCGGCTACTATTCAGTTCTGAGTTTTACCAACAAACCACAGCAGTTCTTTTGCTGTTCTTCATTTTCTCATTCTTCTTTTTCATTTTTTTCAAAATCAAATGATGGCTAGTGGCTGATAGTTTTAGGTTGTGTTTGGACGTACTGTAGGTTGGTGGGTTTTGGTTTTTTGTGGGTGTCAAGTGGGTGTTTGAGGAGAAAGAACATGTCTTAGTTTTGTTCATTGACACGACGGACAGCACCTTGTTGCTGGAGAAGAACGGAGGAGGGGGACCAGGTGGGGGGAACATTAGGATTTGGGAAACTGAAATTTGTCTTTTGACTTTTGTTTTTTGTTTTATAATTTTTTTTAAGTAAGTTTTAATATTATTCTAAACTTACTCGTATAGAAATTTGACATCCAACTACGAATGATCCAACAAAGTTATCATTTGTATGATTGCTTTAATGATAAAATTGCCTTCTTTGGGCCAAAAAAAAAAAGTAGTCTCGAATATAATGATGAGTTTGCCAATCATAAATACTAGAAACGATTATTATTTGTAATCCAATTATAATTATTTTATTTCATTTTAAATATCACTTGTTTTGTTCTTGTTTCATTCATTTGTTTTGAACGAGTTTACGATTTTAGAAATTATATGAATCTATAGTGTTAGGAATATATTTAAAGTAGAATGAATATATAAAATTCACGTTGATATATAATATTTGAATGAATGGATTTAGGATGAATTATTCAATCATACTTATCTACATAATCTAAAAAATAATAAAAATGATTTGAATTCCCATTATATTCTATTACGATTAAATAATAAAAATGTTGAAAATGCAGACGATCAATCATACTTATCTACATGATCTAAAAATAATTTAACACATTTAGTTGACTTGAATAATATATTCAAGAAACTCTTAAAAAATAAGGTTCTCTTTGAAATTATGTTTTACGAAAATCTTTTATTTTAACTTTTTAAAATAGAGTCAAATTAATTCTCATTTTATATTTTATCAAGATTGCATTTTAAGAAACCACATCAATAGTCAACCACTTAAATGGTTCATTTTATATTAAATATTTTAGTTATTGTATCTAAAATATATATTTATTAAAATATAAAAGAAAAACAATAAATGATTATTGGAAAAAAAACGGTAAGTTAAGGACAAAAATTAAAAAGTATATTGAAGTGAAAAAAAAAAAAAAAATTCCCTTTAAACTTAGCCACCGTTTGATTCTTTTTAAAATAAGATTGTTTATTTTTCATACTCATTTTTAATCACACATTCACACAATAATATATTTTATACATAAATTCAAATTTTTTCCTTCTAACCACGCATTCTCCAAAATTCACTTTAAAAGACATCATTTTTTCTTCAATGTATCTTTATAATGGCTATCTAGCATAAGCTTAAAGATGCTCTATATTTATAAATCATGACTAAAATGCTTTTTAAAATAAAGTCACTCGAAAATGTTGTAAGAATAATAATGACTCATTTGAAATGACTTTTGAAAAGTCGAATTCAAAAAATGGTTTTTGAGACTCAAAAATCATTTTTAAACTTATTTGGTTAATTTTATAAAAACGCTTCTACTAATTAAAAAAGCTCTTAAAGGAAGATGATTCAACATGACTTCTTCTAAAAGCTCTTTTAAAATAAGAAAAACCTCTTTTAAACATTTATTTTCAAACACTAATTAAGATGACTCCTTAAAAAACTCTTCTACAACAAACAAAAACCATGTCAATGGATACTTCAAATTTATGGGTTTTCGAAAGGCAGTCTTTCACTGGTCAAAAGTGAGAAATGGCAAAATCATGTAAACAAAATGTCATTTAAATTTTCATCCTAACACTTTAAAATGGATGCCTTCATCTTTCCTTCTTCCCATCTTCTCCCCAACGCCCTACCCCCAACTGCCTCGATCCCCCGACCATCCACTGCAACTCGCCCACATCCCTCCCTCCCTCAGATGCTACGCAAAAATTCCTTACGACTTTTTAAAAACCATGCCAAAAGGACCCCCCCCCCTTCTAGTTGCATGTCAGGAGCACAGAGAGGGCGACCATGTCGTGGAGGGTCGAACTACACAAGGGGAAGGAAGGGGAGAGCAAGCAGGGAAGGGACAGCAGATATAATTTCCGAAATTATAATGTAATCAAGGGCTGTCGACTTTCTGTTGAAACTCAAACAAACTCGAAGTTTTGAGAACCATTTTCGTAGACCCTCACAAAATTATCTCAATAAATACGTGCATTGCCCCTAATGGCCCAATCAATAACATCTTTTGTTGAGGCAAGGAGCTGGAGAATGGTCAGATACAAGTTTCACAAAGGGAAATTTCGTTCCAGAGATCGTTCTCATTGGTTTGCATGAAGAGGTGAAAATCCGTATAAGTTCATCCCATCACACCACCCCCCCCCGGGGCCCACCCACCCCCCCCCCCCAACCCCCAAAAAAAAAAAAAAAAAAAAAAAAAAAAAAATCTCCTGAGACGGAATCTTCATATTTGAACACATTTTAATCCTCAAATGTGAGGGTGCATTTGGACATTATGCAATAATTTATTGTGGTTCAAATCTTCAGAGTACCCCAAGAAACAAACTGACAAAACAAATTACGTCTTCTCTTTTATTCGTCATACGCAGTTGAACTCGAAGAGGATGTTCACCTGCAAGATGAGAAGCTCAAACTAATAGCCCCAATAATCATTTCGGATTTCATCGTCAAATTTCTTCTTCAGTTCAGGATGCTTCACAAAGTACTCATCTGCTGTCATCGTACTAAGTTTCATCTGTTGCACCAAAATTGAATGAGAAATCCAGAGAGAAAGATGGGTTATGATGGGAATTTATACTTCCAAAAAAATGTGTATGCTTCACCTTCAACTCTTGTACATCTGCAATTTCTTTTTCTAATCTTTCAGACTCCTTAAGTGACTTCTGCTCAGCCTCTTTAAGCTCTACCAGCTGTAACTCAAGACAAGAAACATTAATTTAAGATTCTCCTAAAATTTCAGAAGAATAAAGGAGAGTTGCAAATGAAGTCACGCAACTGCACAAGTGTCAGGGTATCTTCAGTTGTCACTAGCTTATGAGGGTAAGGTTGATCTGCAGTGTATGCTGATTGTCTACTATTAACCCTACAATCCCCACCCATTTCTGTATATTTGCATCGAGGGATGAATTCCTCTTCTCGAACTGTTCTGATATAACGTACTATTTTGAAGATTGTAATCATGCAGTGATTTGGGGAGAAAAACAAAAAACGTAGTTCTTTCAAGAGCAATTCTAAATGTACTTCCAAGAATAGTGTTTAGTATATCAGAATCCTTCAAAATCCCACTTGACAAATACTTTAGCATTCTTAATTTGTTTTCAATTTTTAAAAAACAGTCTGCCTTGAGTTTCTCAACATGCTTGTTTAGATAATATCTCAGCAAGTATACTAACATCTAAAATTTACCACTTCCACAGACAGTTAACAAATTCATGTACGCAAATGAATTTATGTCTGTTGGGCACTGAAATAGGAGAAAGAAATAAATTTCCCTAGCATTGAACATATTTGTCCAGAGCTGTAATTATAGATTATATTCCTAAATCTTCTCACCAGCGCGTCAAACTTGGGCTTGTACTGAGGAGTGACATTGTCAACGTATTGAGGGATTTTAACCTCTGCAAAGCAAAATATGATTGATCAGATGTACCACTTAAGGCAAGAAATTCAAACCGAGATGAAGTGCAATCAGGCTCCAAACAGTGGCAGAATTATCTAGACTCTGGAAATCTTAACTAAGAGTTTGACTAACAAATTAACCTTCTCATAAAATTTCTTATGAAAGACCATTAATTGCTGAACTATTCATAACCCAAAATATAGCCCTGCAAAGTTGCTCCTACCTTCGTTCTAACTTCTCAGCCTTTTTGTCACACTTCGCAGCTACTTTCTCAGCCTTACTATTTCTAACAACAAAAGTGTGCTCAAAATTCATTTTAAAAAGGAAACATTTTCACAAATTTATTTTGGATAAGATCCCTTCGGCTCCCCACCGTGTGTGCGAGTGTATAGATAGAAACAGATGTGCATGTTGCAGGTCAAGTAAAACCTTGGTTAATATAGGTATATCAGACATCTTACACTTCATTTTCGACAAATAAAAGAGGACAATTTCTTTTTCCATTTCAATCCCAGAGAAATTGTCTTTCTTAAACATTCTCCATTGTTAATAATGGAATCATTACAAGATGAATAAACTACAGGTAAAGTCACTTAATTAGGACCATGATATCTTCCCATAAACAAAAAATACCTGAAGCACTTTTATCGTGCTTCAGTTGGAAGCTAAACTAGAGATTCTGATGAGTTGTTCCCAACTTCTAAAATTTGATAAAGAAATTTCCCTGGATGAAACACTTTTATCATGATCCGAAGCTAAAAGGGCATTCTGAGGAGTTGTTCTAAAATTCCAAAAACTGATATAGAAATTTCCCTGGATTATCTCCTCAAGCACATTATTGTTCTCTATTATAACTCATAGCTAGGGAGCTGTGTTTACGGACAAGTTTTTTTAAAACAGCACTGTCTCTTACTTGATATCAATTTTCTAAAATGAACTACAGTGTTATTGATATAAATTCCAATTTTTATTACTTGCACTAGCAACTATTATCAAACAAAGTTCACCATTCAAAAATAAAGGTAATGCAACCATGCAATAACGCTAAAAGAGTATCTTGAATATGAGGCTGTTTTGGGCTTCTACTTCATGACGTCATCTAAAATGCTAGTTTTTAAAATAAAAGTCAATGACAAACTATCAATACAAGCATGCAGATTCTGTGACGGTCCAAGTTCTATGGAAAAAAAAATGTAGTGCATGGTAAAATTTAACTCAGAAATGCTATTAATGGATAACCAGTGGCCTCCATATCTAATACGTATCTACACATTTAGGATTACAGGTGGAAATCTGGTATTGGCATCATGAACCTGCCTATACTCATACAATTTTATGGATAGGGTTGCTGATATAAATTTACGTGTCAAATTTTATTGGTTTCTTTAAATCTGCCGACTAGAGTTCAAAAATGGGTTGTATAGCTTTTGAAGTGTCCAAATACAATTCACACCAGCATCATGTAAAACTCCAGTCTTATGCATAGATTGGGTGTTCATGAATTATGCTACATTTTTTTTATTTTAGGTGTTGCTGCTAATGATAATAAATGGCTGCTGCTGTTTTGGTCATGGCCGGTGGTCACCACTGTGATACTGGCCGTCGGGCAGGGAGTGGGGCATTCTTTTTCCTTTTATTTAGTAATAAGGTTACAGAGGTCCTCTTAACACCAATGAATTGACCTGCTTGACTTTACTACTCACTGGACGCCGATTATGACTTTAAAACAGTCAAATGAAAAATTCCTATATATTGAGGACAAATAAGGAGCGCAATGTAAAGACTGGGGCCCATGTGCTCAATTTTGTAGCTTTGGGACCTAGACGCTCTAGCATGTAAGGGTTGGGAAGCTGAAGTCTAATGTTTCCTCTCTGAAAATCAGTATGTTACTAAACTACCACAATACATGCACATGCATTAGGAAATTCAAACAAAGTGCTACTTGATAACCCATCATATTTTTACAGCCAATTTTTAAACAACAAAGAAGTCATACCAGCACTCAACGATCCATTGAAAAATGCACTTAAATATAGGCTTTAAATGAAACCCTAATCAGATTACTAGAACACACATACTGAACCATTTATCTCAAGTAGCAAAACTACTCTGCATGGATAAAATAATTCATCCTTCATGCAGGAATTAGTTTTTGCAATCAAGAGAATAGTTTTACTCGTGGTCAAGAACCTCCCTAGCAATAAAGTATGGGCCCAACTGGCATGACTTCTGCTTCTGTTTCTCGTCGAAGATTTTCCTAGAAAAGCCACCTTAATAGAAATTAATTTTCTATTCTAGAAGTGCTTTACATATTCTTCTACTAGCTCTTCTAATTAGAAGAAGCACTTTCATAAAATTAATCAAACGGGTCCAAAATCAACTTTTAGGTAAATATAGCCCCCCCTTGACGACAATGTTTTGAATAGTAAATTTTTAGAGAATGTGGGGTTAAAAAGTAAGGAAAAGTTTTAGGTTTATGTGCAGATTATTTTATTGTGTGAATATGTGGTTGAAAATGAGTGTGAAGAAAAGAGTTTTGAAGGGCATGTGTGCAGGCGTGTGTTGGCATCTTTTGCCCAGCTAAGTTTATTGCATACAAATTCTACATGCATATCAGCGACAGTACTATATAGAGGGTGTTTGATAAAATTAAAAAATGAGTGTTGCAAGGCCACAAGCTGTTAGTGCATGTTGAATTGTCTAGTGCAGATTGGATTAAATATGCACCATAGTTTAAATGATACCATTTAATCTTATAGCGTACAAATTCTACATGCATATCAGTGACAGTACTATATAGAGCGTGTTTGATAAAATTAAAAAATGAGGGTTGCAAGGCCACAAACTGTTAGTGCATGTTGAATTGTCTAGTGCAGATTGGATTAAATAAGCACCATAGTTTAAATGATACCATTTAATCTTATTAAACACGATAAATAAAATAAGCACCTAAACTTTTTTGCCAAATTTTGTTATCATATACCACCTTATTGTAAGAAAAAAATCAAATATTTGAACAATAGCCGAAGATTAAAAGAACCATCCACAATGTTATCTCTCACTGTATACAACCAGCTCGGTATGTGGACCTAGATGTAAAGGGATTTAAAATATTATTTCTAACATTGAAGTGAGAGAACATCACGTGAAGAAAATAGTCTTGCAGCAAGAATGTAACAACACTGTTCAGGAAGAGATTTGCCGGGCAAAATAAAAATCCAAAAGCAACTATGGCACATACCATCATATGCTTGCTTATACATATCAACCAAGCGAGAACCAATCCCTTTTCTGTAATACTCCCAGTCTATGGGTTCTGGTTCCTGCAAGATTTAAGAAAATAAAGATCAATTGAAGAAATCCAATCTTATGTGCATCCATTCTACTGGTCTCTCGAAAAAAGACAGAAGAACTTGGCACCATTGCAGTTCAGAAACCATTGGCAAGACATGCCTGCTCTAAAATATAAGTCATTTAAATTGGATCATCAATATACGAAAACAAACTGTGGGTTGAAACCCCCTTAGTTAAGCTGATAGCAGGTATTATGTAAAGTTTAGGTTTTGTTTGAGCCCCATTTTCGGGGAAAATAGATTTTGTAATGGTGAATTTTTAGAGAGTGCATGTTAAAAAGTAGGAAAATGTTAGGGTTTACATGTAAAATTATCTTTATTAGAAGAATGTGTAGTTAAAAATGAGTTCGAGAAAAAAATGAGGTTTTAAAAAAATGTGGCTTAAACAGGGGCTTAGCTATTTAGACAAAAAAAACATTGACCACACACGACTCTTTCCTCAGGGGCTCGGAATGTTTCACATGCTACTACATTGTTAATAATAAATATCGGTATTGTCAAAACCAGACCGGACCGAACACTTCAACTGGAAAACACGGGAACCGACTAGTAAACCAGTTCAGTTATAATTCAAAACCCTTTAAACTAATAACCCAAAAAAAACCTGGCCAAAAGCATGGTCCAACCACAAACCAGTGACCTTGCACTGGCTTCTCTGATTTGAGTGGTTCATTTTTTAATTATAAACTAAAAGTTTTAGGTCCAATGTCAAAAAGGTTGTAGGCTCACAAATTACTGTTTCACTGGCCATCTTGTAGTTGCTTTCTTTGGCCTTTTTTCCTTCCCAGTTTTGAAGTGGGATTGCTTAATATTATAAATGGACACCTTTAAAGCCTTTTAATACCTTTTGGGAATACTTAAGGCGTGAAATGCTATTTTTATTTGAAATTTTGATCCTCAAAAATAAATTATTTCATTTCTTCAATTATGTGGTTAAAATTATATTTAGTGCATGTTCGGTAAGGATTTTAATCCCCAAAAAATCAATTTTTTGATCGTTATTTCACTATTCCAACTGTCATTTTTTACTTATCTCATAGATAGTACCCACTTTTCTCTCCAATGATCAAAAAATCAATTCTCAAAATCACTGCCGAACAAGTCCTTAGACTTGAAAAGTAGCTATTAAGTTTTTAATAAAAAAATGAAACCTAAACATAAGCTAAATATGCTATATAAATTATATGTTGAAATTTTAGCTATATCTATTGTCTTATTTTTTATTGAGATTAGAAGTGGATATAATGAAAATTAACAGAGTGTTTGAGCCCTTTTTTATGGAAAAAAAATGCTTTTTAGAATAGTAGATTGATGGAGAATGTGTGGTTGAAAAATATAAGGAAGAATTTTTGGTTTGAGAAGAAGAGAAAGAAAAATGTATTATGAAAAAAATGAGAATCAAACAATGAGTAAATATAGTCAAGTTTAAAAGTCTTTTAGCTACATATAATAATTAATACTAAAAAATAACTTATTTTTCTCAATTTTTTGTGATATATTTGTTTCTTAATTTATTATAACCAGGTCAAACCCCGGTTCGACCTTTTGATTCTAGACCCTCCTTTTTCGAGTTGATGCCTAGGTCGATTTTCAACACATTGATAAATATCCATGAGGAGGACCATCTCATTCAATTTCTTCTTCATTTCCCGAGGCATGTCAAAAATTTCCTCAACAAGCTACAGTCGCTCACCTCTCCCTCAATACCAAATTTTTCCTTTCCAAACATTGCTCTGGATCCGTCGGTCAGAAAACACACATGCAGGATTATACATGAGTATGTTCTCCGGTGAACACTAATAACGAATTAATTTAACGTAAAAAGAAGCATTGATAATTTTGTTTAACTTAATCAATTTTTCATATTCTAATTCAAATTTGAAACTACGAATTTGCATAGGGTCCATTTGGACCAGGAAAAGCTAGGGACACAAATATAAGAACATAAATTCAAAGAACCCCACGAGAAGGTTTTTCAAAAAAGGGGTAAAACTCAATCCCTTGACAAATAAACATCTACTTCCAGTCATTTAATATACAACTCAGCCAAACATCGTCGCAGGCATTGAAACGTGATGCGAAAATGCAAAAAAAATTATAAATTGCTCAATGAATCAAACAAAATCTACAAAAAGTTACAAATCCGGAAATCCCCCAGATCTGTATAATACCCAGTTGCAAAAAACCCCCCCAAATGGGCCATTAATAAAACAACACGAAATTAATTTTAGACATACATAAGGAGAGAGGAAAGAGGGTTGGGACCTGGCTGAACTTGGTCTGCAGCTGGGTGTTGACTTCATCGAATCCACGGCGGAGGGTGGCGAACTCCTTGCGGGCCTCGTCGGAAACGAGAAGTTTTGCCATCCCTTCCCAATCAATCGTCTTTCCAGCCTTGAATGCTACATCTGCAACCTTCTTTCCTGAACCACTCATTTTCTCTCTTTGATTGATCAAAAGGCAAATTGTAGAGTATTGAGTAATTGAATGAACACACGTCGACACTTTGAGTCGGAGAATGTTTGTGTTGTGTGACTTGGGTCTGTGTCTGTTTGTATAGCTTATCTTGGTAAATGCCCTATCAACATGGGGGAGACGAAAGCATTTTTCTCTCTTTTTTTCCCCTGACTTTGCTTTTAGGCTCGAGGTTAATTGTCATATTTAAAAAAACAAAAAAAATACACTAGGGGTGATAAATGGGTCGAGCGGCTTATCGGCTCGTCCGCTCGACTCGCGAAAATGGAGCTCGTGGACGGCTCGAACTTGTAAAAATATTAGCCCGAGCACGAGCCGAGCGGGAAACGAGCCGCTCGCAGCGAGCCCGGAAGCGGCTCGTTTGGAACGAGCCACAAGCCAGCTCGTGGGCTCGTATGAAAATGTAACCGAAACAGTCACATTTCACTTTATGTTCAGTCCCCTATTTATTTTTTTTAATATTTTTTTATGTGTTTTTGGACCGTTAATGGTCACTGAATTTTTTCAGTGACCGTTTTGGTCCTTATATATATATATTTTTTCTTTTTTTCTTTTCTTCTATAAATAATGGCATTTAGCCACAAATTTTTTTACAATTATCTCAACTCTCAATTATCTTTCTCTCAACATTCTTGTATTGTGCTGCTAACTTGCAATTTTTATATACAATTTATACAATATCCAATTCTCATTTCTCAGTTTTCACTATATTTATTGAAATTTCATCCAATTTTCATTTCTCACTACATTTATACAATCATTCTTCTACTAGTTATTACTTATTACAACTAAACAAATGGATCCACGCTCAATTGTCGAAAACTTGTTCAGTATGGGAGGAAACGAATCGTCTATAACACCGCAAAGTCAATTTTAGAATCAATTTGAAGGTCCAAATGACGTATTCCTACCTGAAAATATTCCAGATTTGGCTCTTCATCATCATGTAAGCGGCAATACAAATTATCCAATTAATTTGGATGATATTGACGTCCCCAAAGAGGAACACGATTAGGAAGAAGAGTGTAAATACTATCAACAAAGATTGGCATGGCAAAGAGGAATTAGTACCACCCATCTCAACCGTCATTACAAAGTATGTGCGGCCAAACACAGACTTATTTCATGCTGTCAAACACAATTGCAATTTGACAGTTCAGATGCCGGTGGTTCTACTACACCCCTATCCACAGGGGTGTATTCGGGGGAGAAAGTTCAAACCGGAATGGTGAAACTTGTTGCTGATGCTGAGTTGGCATTAATTGACAACCAACACTACGTCTCGTAGGTGAAAGAATATCTGTAGCCAAGGTATGTTGGGGTAAGTCAAAACACTCTTCATTCTGATACAATACAATATTTTACTTCAACAAAACAACAATTAATTATAGATTTGCAAAAATATGGGGAGTGTCATATCTTTAACTTCAAATATATGAGAAGGGATTAATAAAAGAGCATATATAGTTGCAACTGCACATTATATAGACCCACTTTGATGCATGCATAAAAAATTATTACTTTTAGAATTATTGAGTTTCCTCACAACGCTAATAATATATTTAATGCTATTATTAGTATTGTTAGAGAATATCATTGCGAAGGTAAAATTCGTTCATTTACTTTCGATAATGCTAGTGTTAATAAAGTAGTTGCTGAAAAATTGCATAGGGTACTACAACCTGATTTTGGTGGGTATTTGTTTCATATTCGTTGTGTATGTCATATTTTGAATTTAATTGTCCAAGATGGTTTAAAATATATAAAGGATGAACTTCAAAATATTAGGAACGCACTAATATATATCACAATCTCTCCAAGTTGAAAACAAGCATTTGAGGATTATTGTGCCGAAATAGGAGTGCAAAATGCTAAAACATTTGTTAGCGACGTAGGTCATAGGTGGAACTCTACTTACTTGTAATTAAAGTCATGTGAAGGTTTTAAACATTTGATAACTAACTTTTATAACAATAGACATGTTAGAAGTGATGACGAGGGTATGTTGACTGAACGTGATTGATATTTAGCTTTGAAAGTTAAAATTTTTTTGACATCTTTTTATGAAGCCACTAAGATTTTATCGGGCGTTTACTATCCCACCAGCTGTATGGAGGTTGAACGTCTTTATATAATTGCAAGAACATTTCATAAATACAAAAATGACCCTGATTTTAGTGAAATTATAATTACTATGGAATTAAAATTTAGAAAATATTGAGAATATTTGCCTATGTTATTTCCTTTAGCATGCGTAAATGGACCCTCTATATAATTTATCAGGAACTAAATATACGATTGATTAAATTTCAAACGCCTTAACATTTGATATACCTATCACATATAGAAATTTAGAGCAAACGTTATGTGAAATGTATGAATTATATGCGAATCGTATGGGTACCAATATTATTCGGGTACTATCTGCACCTACTCCTTCCACTGAAATTGAAGAAGAAGTTGTGAAACTATTTAATTTATTTCAAGGCATTAATTTGTATAGATTTGATTCATATGCAATGTGTTCATCTACTACCACTATCACTGTCATGTCATCACCATCTGTATCTCATTCTCATCATACATCGACAAGCTCAAATCATAATGTATTGCCTGCTGAAATAATTGATTATTTCAACCAGAATATGCCAACAGATAAAACAATTAAAAAAGTTCAGACGAAATAATTGAATTTTGGCGGAGGTATGAACGACGTTGGCCAGTTATATCTGCGATTGCAAAAGATCTGCTGACACCTCCGGTTATCACTGTTGTTTCGGAGTCTGCTTTTAGTGCAGGTAAAAGATTTTTTAGCGAGGTCAGGAGCCGACTGAAAGAAGATATTTTAGAAGCGTTAATGTGCGTTAAAAATTGATAGGACGCTCATTTTTTACTACAAGATAAATATGTTGAAATTGCATGTCGTCTAGTAAATGATATTTGATTTAATTATATTGATGAAACTTTTCTTTTATTAACGTTACTTTTAATTTTCTTTAAAAAATTATACACGGTACAAAAAATTGTTCGTGTACAATTTTTAACTCTGCCTACTAAAAATTTAAGTAGTCAGTCCCAAATTCGGATAAAGGAGGAGGGTTTATATTTTATCTATTTTAAAAAGAAAAATAAAAAAAAAATAAAGCTTTCATATTTATTTTTTCTATCTCTTTTAGTTAAAAAAAATTACTTTTTTATTTTTCAAATTATCTATTTGTTCTCCCAAAAAATGAAAAACGACGTCTACTCGCGAGCCGGGCTCGGCTCGGCTCGGCTCGGCCCACGAGCTACCCACAAGCCGCGAGCTCGGCTCGTGGCGAGCCCGAGCCGAGTTCATGCTTTCATGGGCCGAGCCGGCTCGGCTCGGCCCATTAACATCCCTAAATACACGTAAACCTGTTTTTTAAGTTTTCTTCAAAATAATGAGTTCTGCTGGGATGAGAGGGATAGGGACAGGGAATAAACAGAGGTTGAGGTGCATCGAGAGGGGGGGGAAAATAGGGCCCTCGATTTAGAAGGATACGTTACTCGTAATGAAAATAAATATTTTTTAACTTTCATTGATAACTATTCTCAATATTGTTATATTTATTTACTTAATATCAAGGATGAAAGTTATTCAAAATTTATTTCATATAAACCTGAAATAGAAAATCAATTAGACAAAACAATAATGGTATTATTCATAAGACTACTCCATCTTATTCTCCACAGTCTAATGATGTACCTGAAAGGAAAAATATAACTCTTAAAGATATGGTTATTTCGATTCTTAACTCTTTTAAATTACCTTTTAACATGTGGGGGACATTCGTCTTACTGCATGTTATATCCTTAACATAATTCGCAATAAGAAAAATAATAAGTCCCCTTATGAAGTGTGAAATGGCAGAACACCTTCATATAAATATCTTAAAGTGTGGGGGGTGTTTAGCTGAAATTTCTATTTCAGCACCTATGAGAACTAAACTTTGTTCGAAAGCTGTAGGTTGTGTTTTTATAGGTTATGCTCTTCACAGTAATGCCTAAAGATTTTTACTCATTGAATCTAGAAATAATTTGATCGAAAAGAACACAATTTTGAAACTAGAGATGCTAAATTTTTTGAAAGTAGATATCCTTTTAAATAAAAATTTGAAGGACTAAGTAGTTATTTTAGTATTCCTCCTAATGTTAGAGATGAGCCGTTTGACTTAGAAGAAACTAAAATTAGGAGAAACAAAAGACCTAGGATCACTACTTCTTTTAGTCCTGACTTTATAACCTACTTAGTAGAGGATAATCCTAGTACTTTTGGTGAACTTATGTCTTCACCAGATTCTATATATTTGAAGAAATCTGTAAATAGTGATTATGATTCAATTATGTCTAATAATGCTCGAGAGTTACTGGAACTACCTCAATGATGTAAGACAATTGGGTGTAAATAGTTGTTTAAGACAAAATTTAAACTTGATGGTTCGATTGATAAATTTAAAGCAAGACTTGTAGTCAAAGGTTGTAGACAAAAAGAAGGCATTGATTTCTTTGATACTTATTCACCCGTTATATGAATTACTTCTATTAGGATGTTGATTTGCGAGTGCTTCATTGTATGATCTAATTATACATCAAATGGATGTCAAAACTATATTTTTAAATGGAGATTTAGAAGATGAGATTTATATAGACCAACCCAAGGAATTTGTTGTAGAAGACCTTAAGAATAAATTATGTAGATTTTAAAAATCTCTTTATGACCTTAAATAAGCTCCCAAGCAATGACACGAAAAATTGATACAGTTTTGATATCGAGTGGTTATGTGACAAATAAAGTAGATAAACGCATATATAGCAAATTTGAAAAATAATTGTGGTGTAATAATTTGTTTATATGTTGATGATATGCTGATAATTTGAATTAATTTAGACGTGATTAATAAGACTAAACAGTTTTTGAACAAGTTCTTCGAAATGAAAGATTTGGATATTGTCGATATTATCCTAGGAATTAAAATAGTAAAACATTCCGAATGAATTATTTTAACCTAATCACATTATGTAGAGAAAGTGTTTAAAAAGTTTAACCAATACAACTATATTCCTGCTAAAACACCTTATGATGCAAGCCGTCATTTGAGAAAACATTCAAGTCATATTGTCTCCACTTTAGAATATGCTACAGTGATTGGTACTCATGTATCCTATGTAGGACTGGACAAAACTCCCGAACCGAACTGAACCCGACGGTTCTTCTCAAGTTAAATACCCGAACGGGTATTTAAATCAAGAACCGACGGGTATGGTTCAGTTCTTGGTTCTAGGCCAAGACCCGAAGAACCGAATCTACGTAATTTTTTTAATTAATTTATTTTAAATAAGTAAAATTATTTTATTTTTTCTAAATAAATTTGTTAACTAGTTAATTTAGTTCAAACCATAAAATATGATTTTCCTATTTCTAATATTCAGTTCAAAATCGACTTAATCAAATTGACCTCAATTTTATCCAAATCTGTTATTCTACTGTAGTGTCGTTTCTACCGGAGAAAATCGAATTAAAACTCTACAACATCTCTCTTAATTATTTTGAGCTCGCTATCTTTCTCTTTCTGTGATTTTAGTAATCAAATTTATGAAGAATTCAACAAAGAGAGACGTGAAACACATAAGATTGAACTACGTTATTTTGTAAGAGCTAATATTAAATATATCATTAATTAAATTAACGTAACTTTATATATATTAAAAAATTTAATTATAATACGGAACCGAATCAGATCGAACCAAACTGAATGGAACCAAACCCGAACGGTTCCGTAATTAAATTTGGACCCGACGGTTCCACTTATTAAATACTCGAAAATTTCAGGTCGGTTCGGTTCTCGTTAGAACCGAACCGAACCGGATCATGTCCAGCCCTAATCTTATGAATTGTACAAGACCTAATATAACAGATACGGTCGGTAAACTTAGCATGTATACTAGTAATCCTAACAATGAACATTGGAATGCTCTCATTCGAGTCTTGAAGTATTTGAGATACACTCTAAACTGGGAAATACATCATACCAAATTTCCTGCTGTACTTGAGGGATACTGTGACGCTTATTGGATTTCTGATACCAATGAAAGTGAATCTACAATTTGATAAGTATTTACAATAACAAGCGGTGCTGTATCCTAAAAATCCACTAAGTAAACCTGCATTGCGAGATCTACTATGCAATCTGAGTTCATAGTTTTTAGATAAGGCAGGTGAGGAGATTGAATGGTTAAGGAATTTTCTTATGGATGTTCATTTGTGTTCTAAATCATTTCCAGCTATTCTGTCCATTGTGACGGTCAAGCAACTATTTCAAGAGCTCGAAATTCATCATACAATGGAAAGTCTAGACATATTCATAAGAGGCACGATATTTGTGCGTCAGCTGGTTAAGGATGGGGGTTATAGCTATTGACTATGTGAAGTCAATTGATAATGTTGCTGATCCACTGACCAAATGATTGGCTAGAGAGCTAGTTCAGAAAACATTGAAGGAAATGGGGCAAAAGCCTATTACATACTAGATCACTTATAATAGAAACCTAACCTTGCAAGGAGATCCCATTGACAAAGTTCAATAGGACAACAAAGTTATTGGAGTGGTTTGTGGGGATACTACATTGAATTCATTCCCAACTCCTCTCTATGATGCGCAATACCAACTGTATTGATTAGAAGATGAGCTAATGCTCTCAATACTTACTATAGCTGATATTCAGTGGGGTGTTAGATACAGTGTACGCTTGATAGAAACATCTATTTGAGTGTGGAAGTGGGGCCGCTTCCTATGAGAATTGATGCTAATTCTCTAGAGCACTCAAAGAAACTTGGAAAGTTCATGGCCGAAACGAACACAACTGCGAGAACTTAATGATTGTTTTAGAAGTCATGTGTATATTTTATTGTCCTAATTTGCAACTATAATTGTAGAGTTAAGGCTCTGTTCCTCCCTCCGGGACAGCCTTGTCACTTTAGCATTAGTATAAAATAATAAGATCAAGTAAAGAGTAGCGCTGGTTGAACAATCTCTTGGACGTCCAGGGGATTGTACGTTTTTTTTCCCTCAAGTAAAATTATTTCAAAATTCAAGTCCCAACTTTCACCTCACATTTTTCCACACCTATTACCACCCTCATATTTGCCCCCTTAGACTAACCTCCATTTTCAACTACGTATGTACAACTGTTGTTGCCGCTGCTACCATCCACCACTATTGCTGATGGAATCCCCTCATAAACACAACCTCTACCTTGGAATTGCTCCAAAATATCGTGTGGGCCAAAAATCTGCCCAATGAGGTTTCGAAATCATGAACCTCATCATAAATGGGACCCATCATCGTGGACCTCTTGCGTTGCCACCACATTCTATCGCGACTCCAACAATGGGTCTTCATCAATTGGGCCGAAATTTGCTTCTAGTTGTGCTACATTAGTCTTTACAAACTGTTATTCTACATCAGTGGTTTATCATATGATTTTGGGTGTATAGAACCTGAAGGTGTTGGTGGTGATAGGTTTGAGGTGTGTTGTAGCTGGTTGTGTGGTTTGAATGTGCAATTGATTGTGGTTTGACCATGGTGGTGGTGATTGTGGATTCGAGGTGCAGGTGGTGGTTGTGGAAGAGGCGAAGGTGGTGTGAGAGGTTGTAGATTTGAGGTGGCGTGTGACGATTTGGGTGGTAAGACAGTGTGGAGTGGAAGTGGGGTGAGTTAAAAGAGTAATTGTCATTGGCTAATTAAAGTAATTTGAGACCTAATAAAATATGTGATTTACGACTAAGTATGTAAACCTACGAATTGTATTTTTATGACCGTGATATTGTGTGGTCTGTGATTGGTATGTAATATTTATTGTAAATTGTATGTCACAGTGATCGTGATATGATTAATTAAATTATATGGTTCAATATTTTATCATAGATCACAAAATGTGACCTGATTTTTGTAAAAAATCTTTTTTTTTTTTTTTTTTTTTTTTTTTTTAAAGTAGTTGAGTAATGTTCCTTTAAATTTTTTCTAACTTTCTACTTCTCTTGCCAAAATGAAATTTGTGTCCCATGGTGGCCAAGGCATGCAATATGTTATAATGTTGTTTATTAAAATATATTTTCTCATCAATTTTAGTCTTTGTTTTGAGTCCCACTTTATAAAAACTCATTTTTTTTCCAAATTCATTTTCAACTGCACATTCTATCAATTTACATGTAAATAAAATAAAAAATAAAAAATTCTTTAGCCTTTAACAATATATTCTCCCAAAAAATAGGGTTTAAACAAACCTTTAATATCTATAAGGATGAGGTCATCAGTAATGCACACATACTAATATCTTTTTATGAACAAATTAATCTAATAAGTTCAAAATCAATCACCTTGTACTACTCCAAACACCCCCGAGTAATAAGTGGCTCGTAGTCGGGGCTTACCCATCTTGAGGTTACATCAAGGCTCCTCACCAAAACCTATCACCTGAACTTTGGGTCTTTTTCTCAAAGTTCGGGTTTGGAGTGCCAAATCAATATAGACTATGTCATCATTGGCCTGCGATCCACACTCAATCGTCGTAGGTCAACAACTGATATATTCTAAGACTTCGACCCAAAAGTCAACTAATAAGTTCTTCATACTATATTAATATTAGTAAATTTTATAACTCTTATCATATTTCAAATTTTTGATAGTCCACTAAAAATAGAGCCGGTATATGTGAATCGGCCAAGCTTTGTATATTTGTCGACTCATTGTCTAGTTGTTGTTTCTTTAACATTTAAGAAGACTATTGAGTTTTGATTGTAAAGACGTGTTCATTCTTTTGATGGTTATACCATTCCTTATACACACGTTTTGCATTGAAAATTAGGGTTAGAAAGTCGAGACCTTTAACCGTTAAGAAATTGTATATATGGATATTTTAGAAAGTGTCGATGAATTCTTTATTGCTGCTGATTGTTAGGAATTAGGGAATAGACGAATTTAAAAATCGTCCTTGTTTATTTGGCTGAAGAAAGACTATCCTTGTTTATTTGGTTGAAGAAAGAAGTATAGTATCTACGAACGCGATAAATGCACGTAATTATTTATACAATGATTTACATACACATAATATGACGAGATATGATCAAGTCAGAATTTATTCGATCAAATAACAAAAAAATTCTTCACCCTTTTCTTGACATGTCATTTGTATGTAAACTATTATGTACAAGTAGCATTATTCTAGTGTATATAGATACAATTGGTTATCGAATCAATTGTGTTAGATTTCTCCGAAAATAAGTAGAAAATAAATCCAAGTGGTTTGAAAAATAAGAGCCGCCGTCCTCGCTGGGCCATATTTTCCTCTGCGTCAAGGTCAAAACAAAACCTTCCATTTTGGACTTTCGAAGAAACCACGAAACAACGGAAAAGACACGTTCATTTTCCTTTCACATCTGTCCCTTCTTTTCTCTCTAATATAGCCTATGTGCCGGGCTTCGCTGAATTTGTCAAACGCAACCTGTAATCATCCATTTTGCAACCTTGAAAATCCTTGCCTTTCCTTTTATTAGTTACCCTCAAATTGTCGGGTTTTAATTTAGTCTGTCTGGGTTCTGCTTTTGCAAACTTAACTGAAGGGTGTTCCTGCTCATAATCAATACGAGAAATAATGGTTCAGATCAGCGAATTGTATCCTTGTCTTCGTGAAAACGCCAACTGTTAATTTGATTTAGATGTGCGTGCATGTCATGTCATTTTTGTAATCATGCCCATTATGTATTTTTGTAACGATTCAACAATTTATGTTACTGAAGGTTCTCTTTCTATTATAGATATTATGTGATTTATTATATTGCTCCTGTGTGTTATATTGATTCCAATTCATGACCTTGATTTTATTTATTTATTTATTTATTTTTTGGTTTATTATGATTTTTGGGCACTGATAAGAACAAATTGTGATAAGGGCTGTTCTAAAGTATCTCCAAACATTCGCAGTTTTATTTTTTGTTGGGTACAGTTTGTTTTCCTTGACCAGTGTCCTTTTGCAACTGGGATCGTTGTAAAGTCGAGTCGTTATGCCTCTATCATTGGAAGAGGTAAAAGATATAGATGATTTTGAGGGTTAATTATCTATTTCTGTTCAGCAAATTTAAGAGATTTTTGTTTTGAATGGCAGTATCAAGTAGCTCAGATGTATATGGTTATGAAAATGCAACAGCAAAACACCACAGGGAGTGAAGGGGTTGAGGTTCTGGAGAACAGACCTTTTGAAGATGATGAGTTTGGAAAGGGGCAATACACATCCAAAATATATCGGTTACAAAGGTAAGTTGGAGAAAATAGTAGTATATTATGTGAACTTGATTAGAATTTGCAATCTTTCTCGTGCAATCGATCACATGTAACAGTGCATTTTGAATTAAGCGAATGGAGTAAATATATGCATCAATTGTGAACTTGAGAAAATCATAGGTCCATTTCCATTGACAAAGAAGAAAAGGAGACGGCCTAATTTTTTTTTTCCTTTTTTTTTTTTTTTTAATATCTTTATGACGTTCGAGCTGCCAGTTAGTACACTCCCCAAATTCATGTCCCTTAGGTTTTCTTCCAACTTCGATAAAAAGTTATAATATACTTCAGTGTATTTTGATGATATTCATTTTTCTGGCACATTTTTCCTCTTCATCCTTTTTCTGTAATCTGTATGTATCTTTAGACTACTATACCACTCTCCAGAGCTGTTTTAGTTCTATATTTTCCAGTTTTGTTTTGATTAATTGGATCCGAAACCTCTTCTAAGAATTTTCTGAAAGTTTGAATCATCATTTAATGATTCATTCACCTTACTCTTTTCAGCAAAGCCCCTACTTGGTTGACTAAATTTGCACCAACAGATGCTCTTGTGATGCAAGAGGAGGCATGGAATGCATTCCCAAGATGTAAATCAGGTTTGTTTTGTCAACACGATTTCTTATCACATTCACATTATTAACTGAAATTTGATTCTTTTGATTGAGTTTCTTCTATCCTGACTTTTATGGTTATATCTATGGTTGCTGTTGGATGTCTGACTTCGCTTCAAGCAGTTATTAGGGTAATATATTGCAACATTTTGCCAATTTTCTTAAAAGCATTTTACTACTATAAAATTTTGATTGTAATTCTCTCTGTTTCGTATTTTTCAGTGCCCATATTTCACAAGGTTTCTTTTAACAATTGAAACTATTCATAAGGCTGACAATGGACACTCTGAAAATGTGAGTTTTAACATTGCTTTAATTCAACATGAAATCCCATTTCGTTCATAGCATAAAGGACTCATTTAGTGACCCCTTTTTCTCTTTCTATTTTTTCTCATGATTATTAATTGAACATTCTACAATCTAGGTGCATAGCCTAAACAAAGAACAACTGTCAGTTAGACAGGTGGAAATGATAGACATAGCTTCAGATGCAAATGATTATTGGAGTTATATAGTTGGGAGGAACAGTATTGATTTTTCTCAATTCCAGTCAGAGGTGACTGGCCGTGGACCACTTTTAGAGGGATGGCAGGTTGGTACCTCCTTGTGATTTATAAAAATGAACTCTCGTTACAATAAACATCAGAATAGATCTGTAATGTAAGATATTGTCTTTGTATTAAGTAAACATGCTATGCCATACTCATAGCCCATAGGAGTTCTCTTGTTACATTTCTAAGTTTACTTCTGAACGAGACTGTGCTACTTGTTCCAGAATCTGGAAAGGTTGGAAATTGGATTTAACTATTACCTTTTCCATTGTTGGTTCACTTTAAATTTGTTCAATTCCATTTTGGGTTGGAAGAATACATGATTTCTTTTAGTTGTCGGCCAAACCTTAAAACCTCCTTCGATACACTTACATGCACTCTCAATTGTAAATTTGTATAACAAAAATGCTTTCTTGCTTGTATTTGTTAATAAAAAAGCAGAAGTGATGTTACTATTTGTGAGAGAGAGAGAGAGAGAATTAAAAAAAAAGAAAAGAGAGATATCAACTACAAACTATGCCTCATCCCAAATTAATATGGATTTGGACACATACTCATTTATAGATCAAAAGCAAGTTAGTTTTCATCTAATCCTCCCTATTCTAACATGTGAAATGGAAGAAATGGGAAAAAAAAATCAATTTTGATGAGATCATCTTCACAAGTTATTTCAGAAAAAACTCATCCGAAGAAAAAAAATTTTAGATTCAAATGTGCCCAAGAAATGGCCTTCATCAGTTTCAGAGGCCCCCTTCCAGTGGTGATGGACTGTTAGGTGTAATATGACGGCCAATTGGCATAAAACCACCATTAAGACCTGCTTTATTTTTTTCTTTTTCAGTCTTTAAGACTAAAGATTATTGGGTGAGAAAGTGCATGTTATGATTTTGAATAGCAAAACGTGCATACATTTCAATGTTCTTTACCGCAAGACAACTTTATATTCAGATGAAACCTTCAACTTTTCATTCAGGTGAAACTTTTAGTTATTTGACTTTGTGGGAGAAGAACAATGATGCACAATATGCATTAAAGCATTTATTTTGAAATAGGCACCCCACTGTTGTGAAATTGAGACATATGCATGGTTTTAGACAAATCATTATCTCTTTCAAATATACCCCAAGCCTCTATTCATAACCTCTAAATTCTGTGTCAAGATCTGTGCAACACAAATGATGTTATTCTTTTTAAATTCGCTAACTGTCTTTGTATTTTCTTACGTTTTTGTGTTTTTTCTAATTGAAATCTACTTTAATAAAAATTCTTCTCTGTCCAAGTAATTTTTTCTTCTCAATAATTTAATTATTTAAGTGATGCCAAGGTGAGGCATGCATACGCAGCAATACTGGAATTAATTCTTCTATTTTACGAGTTTTTTTTATATTATTTTCAAGAATAAAAGAAACACGTTTTTCAATATTTGTATTTCAACAGTTATGTCTGATATACTATAAGATTCTTGTTGTGATGTTCATTGTATTAACACTTGAATCACTTATTGTTTTGATAATTTAGTTTAATTAGACAAAACCTTCAGTAGACTTGTTCAGTTGTTTGTCTGAGGAGAAAATATGTGTTCAGCATTGGCCATTGTTAATTGAATATTGACTTGATGTAACTAATTATCTAGAAAAACGAACTTTGCAGGCAACCTTAGTTCTGTTAGCTAGAAGTTAGAGCCAATGCAATATTTGTTGGTACTCGATCAAGCAAATAATTTCCGTCTAACCCCAATATTAACTGAACTGAGGCTTGTTGAGCTGCATACGTTCTGTGATGCACCAGAAGGAGGGGCATTTGAATGTTTTGTTTCTAAATACTTACGACTTTATATGGAGAAGGATATAGATATGAAAAAATCAATTTTTTTTCCTGCATATCCTAGTCCTTTCTGTTTTCTTTTGCTAAATCTATGAACTAACGCCATATGGAAATCTTTCTTAAATTTTCATAAGATCTTACTTTTGGTTCATTGAAGCTTCAAGATTTCTTTTAAAACTTACTTATATCTCTATTTTTATTAACTTCAATTTGTACCTTATGTCTGTATATTTCTGTCATGATGGAGAGAACTACTGCGAATAATGGTCTTGGTGTGACATCTCTATAATCTTCATATAATTGACAGCTGTCATTTCTCCACACCTTGCACTTAAGCTGCTGTAGTTTAAATTTTTTATCAAATGTGTCAAACTCTGTGAAATAACATTTTTGGTCTATTTACCACTTAGGATATGATTCCCTTTAAGAAAAATCAGATTTGAGATTCAACTTCAACGGACAATATTGTCTGAAGGACTAGTTTTCCAAGTGGCTATATGGCAGAAAGTACTTAATACTGGGTGGCATATGAAAACATCTATTTGACATGATTGAGTAATACATTGGCATATGATAGAATCCGTGACATTTATTGCCTGCCTGAATGCATGACAGACAACTGAATTTTTATGCACTTGCAGAATGACTGGCAGCAGGTTTTATTAAGTTAATTGTTTGAGGTTCATTGACTTGGAATTCCTCACTGCACACAGGACCAGTGTAATCCAGTTATGACGGCGTACAAATTGGTGACAATAGATGCTCCATACTGGGGCTTTGGCAGCAGACTTGAAAATGCTCTGCTTGCGGTATATCTCGTGAACGTCAAGTGATTTTTTATAAATATGTTGCAACAAATCAGAATAATACATTGGTACTATTGATAGTCAAATTGTCAACAATAGTTAATTTCTAGACCAAACACATTGCAATAGAAGTACCTTTTTATGTAATTGTTAAAAACAATATTTTGATTATATACATGTGGTCCTATTTAATAGCTTAAGTTTTTGATCAAGTGGTTGAATATGAGATCAGAGCAAGAGGTCTTGAGTTGAAGTCTTGCTGCCAACCATTCATGTGAATTGTTCACGTGTTGGGCTTTGACGGAAAAAATAAATCGTGCCTACACACGAGGGGATATGTTGAAGATAGTATTTAAATGACACATGTGACCCTATCTAAAAGCGTAATCTTTTAAATCAAGTGGTCAATAGTAATGTTACAGTTTTTAGGACACATGTCTAAGTATTGTCACCTTTTTTCTACTTTGGAGTTTTCATGTGTCATCAAGAATTTCCGTTTATGGCCTGTTTCTGTTCTCTCTTTTCCCCCTTTTTGGCAACAATGGTTGAAAGTATTTTTGCATTATAAGGTAGAAAGTGGTGAAGGTTTATTTCAGATATAAGAATGGATTCTTTGCAGGGTGAGAGGGCACTTTTCCGCGAAAGTCATCGGAATTGTTTTGCTTGGATTGATGAATGGTTTGGACTGTCAATGGAAGTGATGCGTGAGCTAGAGAATCAAAGTGATTCCTCACTGAACCAGGTAAAGAAGCTCAAACTTTAAGTACTAGAATGAAATTGAAATAAGTAGATGACTGTTAACTTAAACTATTTTCCTCTTTTTGGGGGGTGGCTATAAATAATTTAGAAGTTTGGGAGGTTATAAATAATAATTCCATTTGTAAAAAGGAAAATTATATTGATCTCTCTTGTGCCAGTCTTCAAGCACAGTATTAATTCTTCCATTCATGTGGGTGTGTTGTGTATATTGTCAGTATGTATCATCAGCACCTTTACTCTTTATTCTAACATCATGTATTTAATTTTTCCAAGTGGAATTGTAACTATATTAACATTTGTCAAAGAAGGACTCTATTAACATCATTTCCGTCTCTCACCCATGAACCCAATTTCCTATAAGAAGATGGTTTCCTTGATAAAAATGTGCCTTTTGTGATTGCCTAATAATTTCTTAAACTGGATCCCTATATTTATTTATCCGAAGAAAAATTTTTGCTGGATGATCTATTACTAAGACCATCCTTGTCACGTCTCAAGCCCACAAGCCCGAGCATGCAACACAGATTACGCAACCAGTAGACACCCCCTAATTTGGCTAGCCTACTGCCAAAAAGGTAACTTATCTGTATGCCAGTGGCTTAGGCAACCTACTTTGGATAAACCAATCGCACAATCCTCACGTGTGGCATGGGGCAATGGGTCTTAATTATTCTCCGAGTCCCTGTAGATCACTGATATCCTTACATCAGGGACGAGTGATGAGAGGGAGTTGTACATATATCTTTGAGTCTCGCCCATGCATCTATTCTCCTGTGAAGATTAACATTTTCCTGATAATGTGTGGTTATGGCATCATCTTTTCCTCTCTCCCTTGAATATGTTCTTAAATGAGATTGAGGATTTGGCTTCTAGTAAATTCATAAATGCTGGAAGTGGATCCCAATATTTATTTAGACAAAAGAGAAGTTTTATTTTTTATTTTTCTGGATGTTCTAGTACTAAGACCTGCATGGTATTTTTCATTGATAAAACTATTATCATTCATAATAGACCATACATGTCATGTCTCAAGGTGATGCAGCATGGTTTACGCAATCAATTGAACCTGTTAGTTTGCCTAGCCTCCTGCTGATAAAGAGTGCATAATTTGATGACCATGGTTTAGGCAGGCCATACGCTAGATATGCGATGGTGGGATCTCACTACATCCCCCCTGTTAAATTCCCAAGTATCATAACCGGAGTCAGACTGTCAAGGACTGAATCGCAAAATGATGTGAGATTATATATGTAGCTTCCACAACACAGTTTAGCACTTAGTTGTCACATTTTCAGCTGGCATTATAGCCTCAAGCATGGTATGCAGGTTGTTCCGCCAGTTAGCACTCACTGGTTCTGCTATCTCACTATCGCGAATGGTTCTCAAGTGGATGCCGGTGGACCATAATTGAGAATTCTTAGGACTTAGGAGTTATCTTATTCAGTGATCATCAAAGGTGCATTCAAGGCTTTGTTTCATTAAGGGGGCACATATTAGGATGCACTGGGTTTGGCACATATATAAGTTTGTATTTGTGTGTTTTGGCCACTGCAAGTACTTCTACCATGCAAAACATCAATTTCAAGCCAACATGAATATATAGGTGTTCAAGAAATAAAAACTTTACTGTTTCTCAAAATATCAACAGTCGTGTGTATTTTATTTGTATGGCACAAGATGTTGCGATGTCTCGTATTTTTGGCTCACTTCGGAGTTTGGAATTGCATGGCTTTGGAGGGAGGAAATGAGCTTCTTAGGATTGGTGACCAAGAGAGTTAAAAATTTCTATTTTTACATTAATAATGGGATTTGCTCCTCTTTGCCATAAACTCTCATCTATTGACTGAACCACGAAAACTTTCTTCTCATCATGTGATTGTATGTCATTTGTGTGGTTGTCCCATTTAGTCAACAGTCTCATTTTCTCAAGTTCTCTTAGTGATTCTGCTGCTCTAATGCTGTGTTCTATCTAGTTTAGCTTATTGTGTGGGATGTACATGTCCCCATTCAACAAATTACTATATACTATTTCGCACCTCATGAAGCCACATCCCTGGTAGTTAATTTTTATTATATGGACTTGAGTATCTCCGACTTGAAGTAAATGTTGACTCTTGTGATGCAGAAACTCGACCAGCCATGTTTATCTGCAAGCGAGGAGGAATTAGAAACATGAGTTCACCAATTGATGGTGTAAAAGTGTTTCACAGGGAGTACCCATTCCACTCTCAGAATCATGGTTTTGTTAGGGATTGATTTCGTGTACATGTAGATACACAGAAAATTGAAAAGGTAGTAAACTGGGATTTTAGAAACTGGGGTCAAATTTCTTTAGCACCCACTGTGTGATCTGATTTTTGAATAGGGAAAAAAATTAAGAAGTCATCATATTACTTGTATAACATTTCCCAAAATATTGTCATTTTTGTTTATTATTTATGTAATAATAACTCTAATGGCACATTTGGCAATAAGAAAAAGAAGTTCAAATATTATTCAATGATTTCCGGAGTATTAACTTGGACTGCAACATGTTCCTTAATTAAAAAAAGGTTGAACCCCAACCTTAAGGGCTCCCACTGACCTTGCTCTGGGCTATCGTGGAGGAGGTAAATCGCAGGATGTACCTCCCAGGAGTCAAGGTGGAGAGCACATGGATAGGCCAAGGCTGTTAACCCATATGGTAACTCTAACATGTACTGCTCAATATCTATGTAGTGGAACATGGTTGAAATTTCTAGGATGGATAACGGGATTGGTTGGGTTGGACTTTGCAACATTTTTAGGTTCTATTTGACAAAAAAAAAAATTTATGCCTAGAGTTTATTTTTAATTAATCATGGAAATGCGTATTTATTGTAATTCTCCAAAGTCTTATAAAAGATAAAATTAAGCCCCTATTTAGTTTGGATAAAATTAGACTTCTAATAGATTTTGATAAAAATTCTTGAAATGTGTGGTTTAAAAGTCGTGGATCTCTTAAATGAGTAATCATAAATGAAAATGGGAAAAATGAATTTTAATAAATGGGGGTTAAGTTTCTAACTTCTTATAATAAAAAAATCAGTTATAAATTTATTATATGCATAACTAAGGTATTTTTAATTTTAAACATTTGTTTTTGTTTTTGTTTTTATTCTAATCAAAATCCTGATTATTGTGATAATTTTTTAAACCGATTTTATCATTTGAAATATAATTTTAAAAATATTAATATCCTTTTTTATATGTTTTGAATAGAGAATTGGGGCAACTGAATAGGGAGCTTTTCATATTTCATTATAGATTATTGGGATAGGTATATGCATTTTAACTATATAAATAAAAATCGAAATTTTTTATCAACGTTAAGAATAAAGAAAGATCATCCGAGATAAAGATCAAATTCTTTTCTTAGGAATAGTGTTAAAATGGGATTCATGTTTGAAAAAATGTCTCGCTTCCATTTCTACTACTCATGTACTTTCGAAAAACTAAAATAAATGAATCAAAAATAGTTTACTACAATCACGATACATAATTCACACGTGCTATTTATCGGAGCACTTTTTATAAATATTATCGAGCCGTAGTTATCACATCCTATACATATACAATCGTATCATACAATCAGAGTAGAGAGGCACATAATACTATTCACACTGTAACAAAAGTTATTATCATAGTCACATGACACACTGGTGTGATGTCGCAGGTTTTTATTTTTAAACCTTTAAAATTACTAAAAGACATTTCATAAAAAATCAAAGTAAAAATTTACTTTTCAAATTTAAAAATGCTTTTTTATCACAGTCAAGTTATTTCTTAAAAAGTAAATAGTCTCTTAGAGATATTCTGGACTAGCAAATGATGCAAAAACTTCAATATTATTGTTTTAGATTTGTTGGTAAATTACTCCAAATTAAAAATAGGCAGTACCTTGCACAATCGTTTTAATAAATAAATAAATAATTCAAAGTATTAGTATTTATAGATAGATGAGGGGATTAACCTACTGAAGATGGACCCCTTCGGCATACTTGATCATTAAATTATTTGTGACCCATTAATTGTGTAATTTATAATTTATTATGGGAGTGTGACCATTAAAATAATTAAATTAGTGATTGTGACCAGTGATTTGCATGATTTGTGATTAATAAACAATTAATAACTTAATAACTGAGATTTATGATTTAATATGTAATCGTGATTCATAAATTGGATGGTATATGACTGTAACTTTTTGTGAATTGTGAATTAGTGCGTGACTGTGATCAATAAATTGTTTAGTATGTGATAGTGTCCCTTTTAATTTCTATTATAAATCACAATATTTATTAGAGGTCGCGTTTGACTTAAATATAATTGTGACTCATAAATTGTACAGTATATGGTTGTGACCTCGTGTGATTTATGACTTAGTGTGTGACAGTTATTAGTAAATTGTCTGGTACACAGACTGAACCACGAAAACTTTCTTCTCATCATGTGATTGTATGTCATTTGTGTGGTTGTCCCATTTAGTCAACAGTCTCATTTTCTCAAGTTCTCTTAGTGATTCTGCTGCTCTAATGCTGTGTTCTATCTAGTTTAGCTTATTGTGTGGGATGTACATGTCCCCATTCAACAAATTACTATATACTATTTCGCACCTCATGAAGCCACATCCCTGGTAGTTAATTTTTATTATATGGACTTGAGTATCTCCGACTTGAAGTAAATGTTGACTCTTGTGATGCAGAAACTCGACCAGCCATGTTTATCTGCAAGCGAGGAGGAATTAGAAACATGAGTTCACCAATTGATGGTGTAAAAGTGTTTCACAGGGAGTACCCATTCCACTCTCAGAATCATGGTTTTGTTAGAGATTGATTTCGTGTACATGTAGCTACACAGAAAATTGAAAAGGTAGTAAACTGGGATTTTAGAAACTGGGGTCAAATTTCTTTAGCACCCACTGTGTGATCTGATTTTTGAATAGGGAAAAAAATTAAGAAGTCATCATATTACTTGTATAACATTTCCCAAAATATTGTCATTTTTGTTTATTATTTATGTAATAATAACTCTAATGGCACATTTGGCAATAAGAAAAAGAAGTTCAAATATTATTCAATGATTTCCGGAGTATTAACTTGGACTGCAACATGTTCCTTAATTAAAAAAAGGTTGAACCCCAACCTTAAGGGCTCCCACTGACCCTGCTCTGGGCTATCGTGGAGGAGGTAAATCGCAGGATGTACCTCCCAGGAGTCAAGGTGGAGAGCACATGGATAGGCCAAGGCTGTTAACCCATATGGTAACTCTAACATGTACTGCTCAATGTCTATGTAGTGGAACATGGTTGAAATTTCTAGGATGGATAACGGGATTGGTTGGGTTGGACTTTGCAACATTTTTAGGTTCTATTTGACAAAAAAAAAAAATTTATGCCTAGAGTTTATTTTTAATTAATCATGGAAATGCGTATTTATTGTAATTCTCCAAAGTCTTATAAAAGATAAAATTAAGCCCCTATTTAGTTTGGATAAAATTAGACTTCTAATAGATTTCGATAAAAATTCTTGAAATGTGTGGTTTAAAAGTCGTGGATCTCTTAAATGAGTAATCATAAATGAAAATGGGAAAAATGAATTTTAATAAATGGGGGTTAAGTTTCTAACTTCTTATAATAAAAAAATCAGTTATAAATTTATTATATGCATAACTAAGGTATTTTTAATTTTAAACATTTGTTTTTGTTTTTGTTTTTGTTTTTGTTTTTGTTTTTGTTTTTGTTTTTGTTTTTGTTTTTGTTTTTGTTTTTGTTTTTGTTTTTGTTTTTGTTTTTGTTTTTGTTTTTGTTTTTGTTTTTGTTTTTGTTTTTGTTTTTGTTTTTGTTTTTGTTTTTGTTTTTGTTTTTGTTTTTGTTTTTGTTTTTGTTTTTGTTTTTGTTTTTGTTTTTGTTTTTGTTTTTGTTTTTATTCTAATCAAAATCCTGATTATTGTGATAATTTTTTAAACCGATTTTATCATTTGAAATATAATTTTAAAAATATTAATATCCTTTTTTATATGTTTTGAATAGAGAATTGGGGCAACTGAATAGGGAGCTTTTCATATAATGATTATTGGGATAGGTATATGCATTTTAACTATATAAATAAAAATCGAAATTTTTTATCAACGTTAAGAATAAAGAAAGATCATCCGAGATAAAGATCAAATTCTTTTCTTAGGAATAGTGTTAAAATGGGATTCATGTTTGAAAAAATGTCTCGCTTCCATTTCTACTACTCATGTACTTTCGAAAAACTAAAATAAATGAATCAAAAATAGTTTACTACAATCACGATACATAATTCACAAGTGCTATTTATCGGAGCACTTTTTATAAATATTATCGAGCCGTAGTTATCACATCCTATACATATACAATCGTATCATACAATCAGAGTAGAGAGGCACATAATACTATTCACACTGTAACAAAAGTTATTATCATAGTCACATGACACACTGGTGTGATGTCGCAGGTTTTTATTTTTAAACCTTTAAAATTACTAAAAGACATTTCATAAAAAATCAAAGTAAAAATTTACTTTTCAAATTTAAAAATGCTTTTTTATCACAGTCAAGTTATTTCTTAAAAAGTAAATAGTCTCTTAGAGATATTCT